CCTTTCTGATTTTTCCGTCTGATGTACCTTTGTGAACGTAATATGAGATTGTCGTATGTAGAGAAAAATGTATACGTTTGTAGAATGTAGAGGAATTGTTGAATAACATTTACAGAGTTTTATTTTCGCACGATTCTTCAAAGGAATAAAGGATTTTTAGACTGTATTAACGTGAAATATTTAAGCAGAATAGGCCACTGTTACGTACAGCGCTGCTGGTTATAAACGTTGGAACGTCTACTCGTTACAATCATTGCAAAACTTCAATAAATATTTTGCTTTATTTAACATTTTCTTTAGTATTATTAAAAAGTACGTTAAAGGGATTTATGATAAAATAATTAAAAAAAAAATAAAAGCAGTGGGAAGCATCAGATTTAAGTCAAGAGCACGAAATCTTCGAACATAATACCTAGTTGGCAATGTACGTATATCAATGTCGACCATGTTGATTCTCGCGAACGATGGCTCTTTTCGTTAATGACACGTTAGATCGCAAAGTTGCGCGAAATTCCGTGCGAGCAAGATTAATTTTACGTGTTGCCGGAGTAAAATTAATTTTGCAACCGGGTCGTGGAACCGGAGAAGTTTTCGTAACGGCGCGTACGTTTAGAGACGTGCGGAATTTGGTTGAAGCGTCAGTCGCAATTACCGTTGTAGGATGTAAAGGAATTATCTTGGATACGTCGGTCCTTTGTAACAGCCAGGATAACTATGCTTTGTGCACTTTTTCAGGAGAACACGCTTTTGAACCACCAAAAGGAACAATTTCCTTCTTTTTTATTTTTTTATCTCTGTTACTGGGAAACTTTTTCTGTAATTTATTTGACTCAAAAACATGCCGAGGAAAAAGCAAAAAACGAGAATCGAAGCTCAGATGGAAAACAGGACAAGTCACGGTTTGTGTCTTTTACAGAACAGCAATTTTAGAATGCAGCGTGTTGTCAATCAGTTCCATATTAAGATCTTTCATTCGATTTTGGGATTTTCGCGTATCTACCCTTTTGAACATTTAAAGGGTACTGTCACGTTGGTTACTAGGTACAGATATTAATCAAATTAAATTACCATATCAATTGAATTAATTCATCTCTTATCAAAAGGCTGTACCTACATTTCAATCCATCTATGTTGTTTTCCTTCGACTATTTCATATAAAAAGTAGAAGGGCTAGAATGTAATAAGTCACATACAGTAGAACCCTATGTGAACCCCCGGATAATCGAAAACTCGATCATAAATCGTATAACAAAATGATAGAAAACCTTTTGATAATGTAACATTGTACACGTATTTAGGTTTAATTAATTATTGAATCGGTTGGTAGTTTGATTAACTGCTTTCACAATATCCGTCTATTTACATATTCGTACCCTTCGTGTTAAAATTCCGAAAAAATTTGGAATCATCTTCCAAGTATCTCGGATAATACGAAACTTCGGTAAAACGGAAGTCAGATAACCGAACTTTCAGACACAACTGTATTCCATCTTCTACAGAGAAGCAGTTTTCAAATTAAATACATTCATAATGGACGAAAATCTCACGTTATCAATTGTCTTCTTATTTCATTCTCAAACTAAACGTGTCTTTCGGTCTCTTGGAAATTTCCAAAATAATATCTCACGCATACATATATACATAATGACATATTATAATATATTATTTCAACTCCAAAATTACAAAATAGAAATGATACACACATATTGCATCTTCGTATCCAAAACACTTAATCAATCAATGATTATAATATTCTCAAATAACAACCGATCTCCAGAAAAAGAAAAGGGAACGTATTACGTTGGAGAGGGAAAGAGAGGGTCCTCGTTTCGTAAAGGTTGAATGGAAACGTCGTTGAAAGCGAAGAGAGGAGTTTCGCTGTGAAACAATCGAGGCAAACAATAAATCTCGAGCCGGTGTTTCTTTCAACGAGATTTTCATCCGTTGGAAAGCACTCCCGTTAAAACGGCCGCTAATTTGATTATTCTGGCGCCATACTTCGACGCGATTCAAAGGCTCCGGTCGCTCACGGCGGCCCGGAGTCTTTTAATTATTATACATACTCTTGTTCCGCGAACCCGGAGAATTCTCCGGTTGCTGGCACGTTTCTTGGTTGCTCGGCTCGCTAAGACTGTTAAAAATTCATCCGGTGCCGGGGTCGACGTAATAATACAACACCTTTTCCGCTTCCCTGCTACGTTCTGGCATCGCTTTTAAGCTGGCTAGTCTTTTCCGCCCCTTTGCGCTTCATCGATATTGCACATCGATCGATCTGTATAGCTGCACCCTAACCTTCTGCCTGTTTCCAGAATCGGACACACGTATCACGATTTTTACGTTAGTAACCGAAGATTATAGGGGATAAACGTGACAAATATATTTTCCTGGATTTTTCTGATTTTAATGGTATTCGATACGAGCCTCTCAGAAGCCGAATTAATGAACGTCGTTTCTGTGAATTTTACAATTTCAATGATCAGAAATATATTTACTGTTTGCAGAAACCTTAGAAAATGAAATTTTTTCAGCATTTACAGTATTTAACATTGTGTTTTGTTTTCCGTATTTATTCTTTATGCTTCCGATTATTTCATATTTTAGCATTTAATAAATTTTTTAATAAGCTTATGTTTATAACAATTTATTCTTACTTTTATCTGTACGTTACTTATATCATCATTCTGCAATGAATAAGAACTAAAAGACTTTGTATATCGATTGTCGATTTTCACAGAAAACTAAAGAAAACTAAATTTTAACAATACCTGCATTAAATTTGAATTTCGCAATGTATAGTTAATTACAGCGTTAGACAACGTTAATTTCCTCGATAATCTAGTGATTCTTTAAAAGTTACGACTTATCATACGTTCTATACTTAACCGATGTATCGTGCACTAAACACTCAGTTATATTAATTGCATCCCTGACACATGGTCCATTTTCTCGGATTACTCAGGAACGCGATCTCAAAACTGTTTGCCAAGGGGTGTAGAATGAATTTGCCACGAATATTGTGTTTGCGACCAGTCAGCGAAATTGCACGGGAGGTAGGAAGCGTTAATTGCAACGTCTGAATGAAATCAGTTACGCTAGCTCAACCGGTAGCGAGAGAATTATCGAAACACAAAGCCCGTTGTAACGCGATGAACGTTTCATTTTTCTCTTCTTTCTCTTTCTTTTTTTTTTTTTTTTTTTTTTTTTTTTTATAATTAAAACTTTCCTACGTAATGATTGTTTTCTTTTGATACCACTGAAACTAACTAAGTATTTCTTCTTGTAAAATTTCCATTCCCTATTAAATAGGTCGTTACATCTTTAAATGCCACTGAAATTATTAATGCATTCTTCCCGTTAAAAATCATTTACATTTCTAATGCAACAATCTTTACTTTCATTTGACGCCACTGAAACTTTGGTAGGTAAAGTAGGAAAATCTGTGCACGTCAAATCCGACTTGGATAACTCTATAAATCGAAACACGAACTACAGTTTCTTTTGTGCGATAAATACTTTATTAACTGCTTTCAGAACCTCGTTTCACCAATCGCAGCGTTTAACCGATAACCGATAACTCCGCGTTTATGATGATTCGAAAAAGCAGATTCTTCGTTAATAAACATTTTCTCGAAAAGAATGAAGGATTTCTTTCATATCTCACGACTTTAGTCGCCATTCATTGTAACAAGTTTTAGAGAAATTTGTTGTTACAAACAAAGTTGTTTCGAGCCGAGTTTCAATTTTAAATTAATCTGACATTCACCGATTTTGAATTAATCGAGATACTCGTGTAACGACAGAATTAGTTTTAATTCCTCAAACTTCTTTATTCGAATCTCATTTTACGTTAATCAATATATTCGTGCAGGGACACAATTATTTTTAATTCCTCAAACTTCTTTATTCGAATCTCATTTTAAATTCATCAAGTTATTCACGTAAAAATGCAATTACTTTTAATTCCGCAAATTTCTTTACTTTAATCTCAAATCCAGATTTAAAAGGCTCTAGCTTCATGTACCACTAAGACTACTGCGTTTATTCAAATTTATTATTTATTATTCAACGATCAATAATGTTGTTGCTTCGAGTGTTTGACAGCTATTTGAAACGTTGAAGTTATTTGATAACCTCAGAGTGAAACGTTAAAACCAACGTTTATCGTGACAGACAAATTAAAAAGATGTTTGACCTTAAATCGGAAAAACAATTAATAATTCATATAATACAGAACTGCGCAATGACATGTCGCAAATAAGAAAAATATGAATAAAAACGAAGCTCAATTTCCTAATAACGTTTATTACTGAACTAATTTTTTATTCTATTTTATTATCTGAATTGCTAAATCATAGATCTTGAAGCATCGTGGCGCCTACAAATTCCTCTAAACTCTGCTGACGATTCCAAAAGAAATAAATTCAGTCAAATCAAATACACACACGACAGACCAATACCAACGTTCAAAGCATCGTACAATAAAGTAAGCAGCAAATTCGCGGGAAAATCGTGGGGAGGATACAACCGCGCAAAATTACACGCTTGACCCGAGCCTAGGCTGTCGACTGGTCACGAGCGTGTTAACTAATCGCCGCTGACGTTAAACTTAACGACCCGATGACGCTTACCCCGACATGGATAGACAAAGGGAGAATCGCGGACCAGCAACGTATCAAACAGGGGGAAAGAGAGGGTGGCGAGAATCCACGCGAGCCTTTCGGAGACCCCCAGCAACAAGCAACGGCAGCGACAACAACCGGTGAGAAGCGACGCGTAGGCTGGTGCAGTGGTCAGCCGGAACGAGACGCGAGTTTAGCCGCAAATTATCGCGACGCTGGGACGATAATGGAAATCCGATTGAAGCCGTCCATTTGCGACGCGTTATGGGACTGTTTGGCATTTTAATTGGGAAATTGCAATTAACCGGCTCGCCTGTATTATCGTTCGATCGTGGAGGTACATCATGGCGTGAATTAGACCTATGCGAATAGTTTCTTTACGTTTCTTTCATCTTGGAATTCTCATCGTGATATTACTCTCTCTCTCTCTCTCTCTCTTTACTGTTTCGTTTTGATTCTAGTCTTTCTTTAATCAACCGTAGAATCGTATATTGTTCTTTGTTGTTTGATAGAGAGCTGCAAGAGTATGCGAAGGGAATTTAACCTTCGCTTAGGGTGTGGTACTAATCGAATCGTTGATAAATATCCAATAAATAAACGCAGGCATTCCTCGATTTCTACGTGGATTTTTTAAAGAAATATGATTCTCTCTTTAGATGATTTAATTTGATCTAACGCGGTACGAACAGTGGCCTTCGTAATTCTTGATGTCTCTTCTTCTTAATGTAAAAATTTAAACATATCTTTCTCGTTCCTCGAGAAACTGGCGAGAGATCCGCCTCGAAGGTACTACTTACCAGGATCAAATTGATTCGAACACCGAGCACGGAGGAAATATTTGAGGGGGAAATTTATCGACGTCGAACGATCGTCGATGAAACGAAGCGGAATCCTAGTCGCGTCCAACCTACCATTCGTTCGATTTATTTATCACGCAGGCATGCGGTGATTGTCGTTAACCCTGCCCAACGTTCTTCGACTTCTATTTAAGTATCTTCAAAATACCTTTGGTTAACATTTACGTTATTCTTTCTAATTTCCATTCGATATTCCTATTTAACTGTCTTTCGAGTAAATATATTCGAAGATAGCATCCTAAATCCTACCTATATCACCTATATCTTTAAACCTAACAACAGTATTTGGTACTTTTAGGCATTTTATATTAAAATATTTCTGCTTAATCATAAAACTGATAAAATTAAAATAACAATATCGACATAAATATACTTGTTGTAATTTCTTTCTGTCACATCAAAAGCTTCTATCTAATTTCATATTTATGAAACGCTATATATATATATATAATATTTGTATATATTGTATATTTGGAAATATTAAACGAGCGGAATTCTACCGTATCACGATCATACTTTGATCACGTTAAACTTCTACCGGTTCGATCTTCCTCGTTCAATAAAGAAGCATCCCTTCGACGGACCTTTTAATTGGAAAATTGTAATTGGCGCTGTCTACTCGTCGTAGACTGCTCCTTCAAAGATATTCCCCACGACATTTTGCCTCCTCGGGGACCATCGGTCCTTGCACGTTTTCCCTCTTCCTACTCTCGAAACCCTGTCTTCCTTCTTTTTTTTCCTCCCCTTCTCTCTTTCTTTCAAAGTCTCTCTAAAACTCTAAACGGTCTACAGCGCACTTTTCCTATAATCGAGTTCCGTCCAGCGCGAGGCGCAGGCCTTTTCGAGAGGCCGTCCGATACACGGCTCCAACTTTTAATTGGCAAATGGTAATTGGACACGCGGATACGCGCAACTGGAGGATCCTGTGCCCGCCGGCCTTCTGCCCGGACATGGCCGCAGATTTTAAAAGAAAGAAATAAAAGAACGTTCTCTAGTACCATGTTAGAGGCTGATTCAAGTCGAGATATGATCCCAGTGAGTGAGTAATCGAGGGTGAAGAGATTTAACGACGATTAGCATAGCATATAGGATATACCGATATGTGCTTAAAGATACGAGCTAAAGATAAACTTCAGCCTTCAGGCTCGAGGTTGAATTTCAGCCTTTTTTTTACTTTCAATCTTTTACTTGTTATGTGAAGATGAATATAATTTCTAACGAGCTTTAGAATCTCTTACATTTTGGTGCTTTCTAATAAGAGAACCTACTCGCAGATTTCCAATTAATATTACGTACAACTATCGCTCATTAACACGTACCTCAGTATATTATAACATATATATAAAACAAAAGACATTACGCGTCTATTATTTCCTTATAAAACGAAAGAAACTTTTCGGACAATCTAATACATATAGGCTCATCTATATTCCTCACAAGTTATTCTATATATTGGGTTGGCAACTAAGTGGCAATCACTATATTAGTTTGTTGAATTGTGCGCGAACATAATAATAGAAATAGAACGGAATGGATCATACCTAATTCAATAAAATAATATAAAACAGAAATTGTTGTTCATCTATTATCACCTTATAAAACGAAAGAAACTTTTCGGACAACCTAATATAACTATAATTATAATTCAATCCCAATAAAACTCTACATTAATGTTACGAGAAACACATAAATATTTTAATTCTGTAACGATGCAAATAGACAAATATCTACACGAATACAACTATAATGCCATTACAACAAAACTGCAAGGAAATCGCCTGTAAATTACAATAATCGGAAAAACAAGACATCTCGGCAGTCGCACGATAAAATCCCAAATCTTTAAATCAACCCAACCTCCGCCTCCATTAAGCTCATCGTGCTGTTCCTGAAGATCGAAGACGAAGAAGCAGAGCAACCAACAGCGCTAACGATTCGGCCGCAAAGGGGTGAAAATTTCGTAACTCGTGTTTCACCAATACGAAACTCGCAACGTAGAAACACGAGATTCTCGTCGAAGACACGCGCGCACGGTACGTGTATCGCGTTTCCTCGGTATTCACGAGACGAATCGTAGAGAGAACGCGGAGTCGCGAAAGTCAGGAATTACGGATGTAACACGATTTCTTGATGTCGACGCGGAGGATAATTCGCACGGAACGATTCTCTGTCTCCTGGAGGAGAGACACGACGCTAGCTGGGATCCTGCGCCGCCTTTGCCGCCTTAATTGGAAAATGCTAATTAGCATCCAGCCCCGGCGCGATATTCCCTGTCGAGCGAGACACACCGGTTCTCTCCTTCCTCATTCCCCCACCCTTTTCGCCCCTCTCCCATTGGAACGCCCTTTCGCCCTTCCGTCGATTCTCCACGACGAAATTAAAGCTCGCGAAGGGAAATTTTACTTTGCTCCCGGTGTCTCTCTCCCCGTTGGGAGGAGAAAGGATAGGATCGGGGAGTTGATTTCGAACGCGCGATTGATCAGAAGTTTGGCTTGGAAAAAAAAGAACGGCTCTGTCGGCGAGGAGAATCTTCACGAAGAGGGAATGAGAAAGAGTGTCTATTGTTTGAGAGAATCGTCGGGACTGTTTGTCTATGAAGATATTAAAGTTCGATTGGACGCGTAGCTGCTCATTCTACTTACTTACGCCTCGAGTTATCGCTTTATTATCTTTCTCGGTTCTAGTTTGGCAAGGTTTGTTTCCTCTTTCAATTATATTGTCGCCTTTGTGAATTTAGAAATGTTAATAAGCGTGGTATTTCACAAGTTGTACTTAATCGCTAGCGACCCGAATGTGATATTTGGTCAGTTGAGTTGAAAGGCTTATATGATTATAATTTGATTACATTTGACATACATTTTCGTAATTAGTATCGTATCTAAGTTAACGTAGTACGTGTCGAACTAAGTTTCGATGGAGGAGAATCATACGCTGCTACAAGTAGATGCAATGAAATTCAATACGAAACCATGAAAGACGAACAATTTGCGACAACTGTTTATAGCATTCTATATATTTATTTCAAAATCAAGGAAAAAGGATTTACTATTAATTACATGACAAAATTCTCGAAAGATGCTAACAAATTGTCAACGAGATATCAAATCGCAACCATACACAAGATCAAACGATTACCGAAAATCTCTCGCATCATCCAAGTTTCTCGCTCCTGACATCTAATTTACACTTGCAGATTTGATAGAATCACAGCTCCCTTTCGTGTCAACATTTGAAATCAAACAGATCGCGGGATAGCAGAAGCCGAGAGGTGAAAGTGAAATGGTTGGATAACTTCTTAAGAGGCGCGGATCGTTCTTCGAGTAAGATAGGCGACGTACACCCTCGATCCCTCGATTCGACAGCAGGATTCGACGAGGTCGTCTTCTCGGCGTCGTCGGTTCCCTCTCGGTGACGAGCCTCGATAAAGATAACAAACGGCGTAACGGTGGGACGTAACGAACGATAATAAATCAAACGATCGTTTTCCCCGTGAGTTCGCTTCTCTATCTCCGATTATCCGCTATAAAATCGAATCGATTCTGGCCGGGCACGTTCGATTCGTCCGCGTACCGTTTGCTCCAAACCCGGCACCCGGTCTCCTGAAAAATTCAACGGCGGCTGCACGTACGCGCGTATTTCAAGCGGAAATTCGAGTGTGTTCGAGAACACACCGGATCGAGTCGATCGATCGATCCGTGTAATTCAATCCTGCAGCTTGGCCGACGAACGGAAACAAGCGGAAGTGCGAAACCAGCCGTTAGACGCGTCGTTTACCCCTTTTCGTTTTTAGCACCTCGATCTTAGTGGTCATCCAGGAAACGGATAGGTGTCGAAGCTGATGTTTCTTGTTATTCGAAAATGAATTGTATCGTAGATGTAGCCGATGGGAGAAATTTGAAAAAGCGTGCAAGAGAATTGAATTGAAATGAAACGTTAGATGTTCAATTTTAGATTATATGGGAATCTAGGAAGAGAAAACGACGAATGCTTCAGTATCTTTCAATTAGATTCGCATTATCGCGTTGTGAGTCGAAGAAAAACGTTCTTCGTAGCATCAACGATGTTGATGGATGTTAAAGAAATATATCTTAGTTTAGAAATATTCGAATTTTTAGTATAGCAGCGATTTGATAATTCGCTTTGCTAACTGATCAAAGTGACGATCTTATTTAACCAAATATTGAGATACGTTGCTATCGAATCCCAAGTACATATCTGTTATCGTCGATTAAGGACGAATAAAATATGAATATCTGACACATTTACTTACTTTAAAGATATAATTTATAATAAATATTATATTGATATTATCGATATATGAACTTTATCAAGTCACTTTGAATGATTAATTAACGACGCTAAATTTCAGTCTCAACGTAATAATACCGCTATTGTATTACTTTATTTAGTAATACTTTATTTTGTATTTACTTTATTCTATTACTTTATTTAGCTTTGCGAAAGAGTTAATAATATAAATATTTAATATAAAAACCTTCAATTAGCCCTGCGTGGTCACGTTATGTCTCCATAAATCAGTTTCATTGCTTACCTGAAAACACAAATAGAAGAAGAAATTAGTTAAATATTTCTCGTAAATTGTAGCTATATATATATATATATGTCTTAATTATTGCAGATTTTTAGGTACATACACTAAACAAACATTTACAGCAAGTAGAACTCACAGTCCGCAGTCTAATGACAAAGTAAGACTGAAAGTAGTTTAGGACATGCTACTGTAGATCATAAAACAAGAATAGAAAAATGTCGACCCAAATACAACGTGTTAAGATCGTTCGTTTCAACCGTGCCATTTAACAGAACAGTAGGACTGAGGTAAATGCTCCATAAAAATGAATTTAACGAGATGCAGAGTCTTTGACTTTCCATAAATTTGTCAAAATTTTTATCGCAACGATAACAACGTAATTGTACCTATTAATACTCTACGATTATGATCTAAATTAGGTCGCTATACTTTCAACAAAAATAAGTACGTACATTTGATCACTACCTTATCAACATACGTTATCGTACTACTCGTTTTTTATGCGCCATAGTATTCATTCTATTGTTCGAATATGTAACGTTAATAATGTACACAATCGTACCATATAATTGCTACGTACCATATTTAATGTATGTTACCGATATTATCGTAGCGAAGGAATTAACTCTTTGCACTCTGACATTTCTGACACCAAGTTATTAACTAATATATACGCTGAAGATAAAGTATGGAAATTTTTAAATGATCTGGGTATATTTATAGTCTGCTGGTCCGTAAAATCAGACATCGTATAATCTGATTTAAAAGATAGTTTCTGGTGAAATTAATATCTAGTTCAACAAAATTAATTACACAATTACTATTGGCTCTTGTAACGAATATTTTGAATATTTGGAAATAATTAAAAACTTGCACATGTAAGTACATACTAATGAAGCAGTTATTTCATGATATTTACATAAACGACACGAATGTTTCCCACGTGCATATTTATCAGCCTTTCAATAAGCTGCAGAGAATATTTATTTATATACGTTTTTCTGCAAATATTGTTTAATATACGTAATTATAGAACGCTTTAGTTGACGAGACACGTTATATTGCTCTCTTGAACATTTATTCGCCTGGAATATTAATATAAAATCGATGATACCTATACTTACTAAACCAAGTTATATAACAATCGATATATCATATGACATCGAAAGATGAAAATACCTACGAGAAATATTCGAAGCATAAATAGTTAAAAATAGATCTATTGAACTAAGTCGATCCATAGAAATTAGTATAACATCGTAAAATCAAGATAAAATTAAAAGCGATATTTGAAATCCAAATGCTCTGAAACAGACATCATTCGCCTTTATTACATCAAGTTACATAGCAATCGCTGTGCTACTAAAGAATTATCAATTCATCCAAAAGGATTATTTCAAACGAAAGAGAATTAATAAGAGATCTTCGAATTTCCTAAATCAAGTTACATAGAAATCGGTATGACAACGAAAAATGATCGAAACGCTCAAGAGAAATACTCAAAGTGCAACGGGTTAAAGCAAACCCTCTCCATCTTCACAGCGAGTAATTGCTTCCCATGTCACGAAGGAGTCGCCTGTTAATCAACAGGGCGATTGTCAGTCGATGCAAAACACGAAGGAGTCGCCCATAAAGAAACGCGTTGGTTACAGCGAAGACCGTACGTACGTCTGGCTAGCGACTTCCTTTTCCTCTTTGCGAAAGCGGAGAATAGTTAGACCTCGGCGATAATGCACCGTGGATCGTGCTGATGCGTACGATAATCGATCGTCGATAACTGGCGTCGAGTGCACGTACGTGTCTTGGTGCGATCGAATTAGAAGCCCTGCACTTAGCCGTGGGCTTTCTAACGACCCCGGTACTTGCCGATTTATGACTTCCGTTTCGATGAATTGATGAGTATGGAGAAACGAAAAGAAAAAAAAAAAAACAGAGCAAAAAGTGTGTCAGTACTTAGACCTAATAGATTTCCTTTTGCAATGGTGATTTGATGGCAAGGATGTATCGATCGGTGGCTAACTTGGGTCGAGCGCTGGTTATGCTAAGAGACGCGCGGAATA